TCTGATTTTTTGGTGCCGCTAAAATAACAATATGTATACAGAAGGAATTTTTTCTCTTTGACCCATAAGAAACCTAAATCCTGGAGGGCAAAAAAGACTCACTGAAAGAAGAAAGAAGAACAGAGTCTAAGTCTCTTGGCTTCCAGTTTCAATCAGTAGCTCCCCAAATGGATTTTCCAATCCAGGGTACATCCTCAGAGGTATCACATGTCCCCCAGGGATGTCAACATGTGTTAGAAAAAATAAATTAATAAAAGGAAAAACAACTGGGGTCTATGGCCATTTAAGTTGAGAATCTGGATGAAGCAACATGACATAGATTTCTCCTCTACAGATTTCTTAGTACATTTGATCTGTGAATGTGCATTGTCCATCTCCAAGAGAGGGATTATTGGATCCTGCACTCTATCTCTCTATCTATTTATTTGTCGTGGAGCATTTCACAGGCCCATTGTAGAAAATGTCAACCTCAAGTCCTTGGTAAAGTATGACACGCACAAAGTGCTCTAGGCACTGCACCCATGTACAAAAATGACTACCCGTGGCTGAGCAGAGGCACCATGCTCTCCACTCTTTGACTTTGGAGCCATGTGACAGTTCCCAAAGCAGATGAAGATGTCTTCATACATCTGCTTCCCATCCCAGGCTTATTGATCTTTTGCAGCTAAAGAGTGAATTTGAAAGAAATTTATGGACACATTAAAAACATAAATGAAATCTTACCACCCATACCAACATTTTGAAAGAGTGAGTCAAGCTTTATAAACATGTAACCACATGCTGTGATTTCAAACCACTCATGAAAGGATAATCATGGGCTCAAAAAGGTTTCCAAAGGGGAAATTTATAGATGATCAATTAATGAAATAAAGTTTTCCTCTTCAGCAATTTGATTTACTAGTGTAAATTTGTAGGGAAGAACAGAAAAAAATTAAAACTTAAATTCACCTCCTGAGCATTTACTTGTTTGCCTGTGACAGTTTCTACTATCTGTTTCTAATGAAAACATTTTTTAAATTATTTTAACATAATATCTGAAAAATAAATTATCCAGAAGTAAATAAAGGGACAGAGAGTTCNCATAGTCTAGATTCTATGGAGGTGACACAAAACAAGCATGGATATGTTCTGTCTTTCTCCTATGGGACAAGAATCATACAAAACATAGCTCTTGGAGTGAAAGGGAGCAAGGGACTTGCTCATGCTTCCTTAAGACTTTTGGCCTTGGATGAGAGACAAGGGTGGAGGTAAGGGTTGAGCATCTGCCCTAACCCCACCTACCCACACACACTCACAAACACATTCATACATACAACACACGAAGTACAGAGGAAGAGGGGCTTCTGATTTTTTGGTGCCGCTAAAATAACAATATGTATACAGAAGGAATTTTTTCTCTTTGACCCATAAGAAACCTAAATCCTGGAGGGCAAAAAAGACTCACTGAAAGAAGAAAGAAGAACAGAGTCTAAGTCTCTTGGCTTCCAGTTTCAATCAGTAGCTCCCCAAATGGATTTTCCAATCCAGGGTACATCCTCAGAGGTATCACATGTCCCCCAGGGATGTCAACATGTGTTAGAAAAAATAAATTAATAAAAGGAAAAACAACTGGGGTCTATGGCCATTTAAGTTGAGAATCTGGATGAAGCAACATGACATAGATTTCTCCTCTACAGATTTCTTAGTACATTTGATCTGTGAATGTGCATTGTCCATCTCCAAGAGAGGGATTATTGGATCCTGCACTCTATCTCTCTATCTATTTATTTGTCGTGGAGCATTTCACAGGCCCATTGTAGAAAATGTCAACCTCAAGTCCTTGGTAAAGTATGACACGCACAAAGTGCTCTAGGCACTGCACCCATGTACAAAAATGACTACCCGTGGCTGAGCAGAGGCACCATGCTCTCCACTCTTTGACTTTGGAGCCATGTGACAGTTCCCAAAGCAGATGAAGATGTCTTCATACATCTGCTTCCCATCCCAGGCTTATTGATCTTTTGCAGCTAAAGAGTGAATTTGAAAGAAATTTATGGACACATTAAAAACATAAATGAAATCTTACCACCCATACCAACATTTTGAAAGAGTGAGTCAAGCTTTATAAACATGTAACCACATGCTGTGATTTCAAACCACTCATGAAAGGATAATCATGGGCTCAAAAAGGTTTCCAAAGGGGAAATTTATAGATGATCAATTAATGAAATAAAGTTTTCCTCTTCAGCAATTTGATTTACTAGTGTAAATTTGTAGGGAAGAACAGAAAAAAATTAAAACTTAAATTCACCTCCTGAGCATTTACTTGTTTGCCTGTGACAGTTTCTACTATCTGTTTCTAATGAAAACATTTTTTAAATTATTTTAACATAATATCTGAAAAATAAATTATCCAGAAGTAAATAAAGGGACAGAGAGTTCTTTTATTTTTATTTATTTATTTTTAAAATATATCTTTATTGATTTCAGAGAGAGGAAAGGAGAGGGAGAGAGAGATAGAAACATCAATGATAAGAGAGTCGTTGATCCAGCCCACAACCCAGGAATGTGCCCTGACCCAGAATCGAACCCTGAGCGCCTGGATCCTAGGTCAGTACTCAACTGCTGAGCCATGCCCGGCCGGGTGAGAAACTTCATTTTTTCCTGGAACTATAAAAGAACTCTCGCCCGGCCGGGCGTGGCTCAGCGGTTGAGCGTCGACCTAGGATCCAGGCGATCAGGGTTCGATTCCCGGTCAGGGCACATGCCCGGGTTGTGGCCTCAATCAATGACTCTCTCATCATCGATGTTTCTCTCTCTCTCTCCCCCTCTCCTTTCCTTTCTCGGAAATCAATAAAGATATATTTTTTAAAAATTAAAAATAAAAAATAAAAAAAGTAAAGTTTCTCCTAGGAGAAAATATGATAGAAGCAGTGGTATTGAGCTGGGCCTTGAAAAAAATGAACAGCAGCTTAACAATTAAAGAAAGGCAAGGGGTTGGCACTCCAGGGTGAGAGAACAGCATGTGTGCAGGCATAGAGACATAGAACATCCCAAATATTCCAGGAATGATGGGAACTCTGGTGGAGCTAGAATGTAGGTACATGGTGGAGACTGACAGATACAGTTTGGTAGGCTCTGAGAACCTTATTATAAAGAACCCTGGATGCCATTCAATGAGTTTAAAGTTTATCTCATAGGCTTCCAGTGAAAGATTCTAATGATGGTAGAGGCATACATTGAAATATAAAAGATGGTAATGGAGTGATCATTTACTTAACTGTAAAAGCCTAGGTGAGAGGAGCTATGGGCAAGGACAGAGTTGAGAGGCATTGCTTTCATTTCTTTCTTTTTTGATGTCTGATCTTACCTATTTGTTACTTGTAGAAAATCTCATTTTTGTCTGGACTCAGACTTAGAGGTAGAAGCTCTCAGAAAAAAGAGCCTACATCTCTTGGCAATCTGTTCCTGGCATTTTTCTCTCTTTTTTTTAATCCTCACTTAAGGATATTTTTATTGGTTTGAGAGAGAGAGGGAGAGAGAGATCACTTGCCTCTCGTAGGTGCCTGAACCGGGGATCAAACCTGCAATCTTTGTGCATGGGACAACACTCCAACCAACTGAACCACCTGTCCAGAGCTGTTCCTGGCATTTTTCTTTGGCCTCCATTTTCTTGGCAGAAGTTTAGCATATTCTGGAGCCTCTTCCTTATTTTTCTTAGTACATTATTTCTCCAGAACAATACGCCAATATTTGTGTTGCAGAACATGTAGAGCAACAAGCTCCTGAATCTTGGGTGCTTCAGTCCTGGCTTTCTTACCTTCTTTGTTTAAGGGTTTTCTCACAAACATATTGGCAGACGTCATCTTCTTTAGACAGATTGAAATGTTTGCAGATTCTGCTAGCTCTTTTGGGCCCCAGGCAATGAGGCACAGTAGTATCAGTGGGACCAGGAATATCTCCCCACCACCACCTTTTTTTCTTCACAATGACCAAGTTGAGAACACTGAGATTGGCATCCACAACGCAACCCCGAACAGATATGCGCTTTCTATCTCCAGTCCTTCTTGGTCTATAACAGGGATGCCCCCTACTCAGCAGCAGGCAGACAGGGCCATGGGCCAAGTCACCCCTTCATGGGGAAACCTTGTTTGTTGCTCCCACCACTGATTCAAGCATAATCCTTCCATTCCTCATCCAAAGTGTTAGCAGCAACTTCTGTGGCCATATGCTTCTCATAAAAGGTACGAAGTTTGCATTCATCATCAACTTCAATGAGTTTCTGGCAGCCAGTGGCTGGGGAGGAGATGTTCAGCTTCATCCTCAAGTGGCTGACCACCTCTGTTCTTTTTCAGTGCCACAAAAAAGAACAAGAGTCATTTCTAAGATGAAATGACAAGGCTGAGTAACTAACCGGATGTAGTGGTCAGAAGAGCGGGCTGAAGGCAGCCCCCAGGCTGCCCAACCGGATAAATGGTACTATTGTGGAGAGAGCTCAGGGCTGCAGAAAAGGGGATAGGTTTGGTAGGGTTAGCTAATAGAACATGTTCAGCCTAAGCAAAACCATTATAATGGGCTTGGATAAAGGTAAGGAGATGAAGTCATTCCCACATTCACACATGCTACCTGGAAGGCCTAGTGTGTCCACAATTTCTCATCTTTGGTCTTGTTTGGTTTTAGGGATTACTCCTTTTCTGAATCTGAGTAATATCAATATATAAAATACCCACACCCACACTTCATTTGGACCAAAAGTTATCATAAGTCATGTTGAGTTTGTTGTGATATCTTCAACTTCAACAAATGATGAATCAGATTAACTCCATGTCAAAGTGCCTTGCCAACTAGGCAGATATTCCAAAGGCTTCTTGATATACTGGATCATGACATGGATATGGGAAATGAAGGGCGATAAGCCTTTGACTCCACCTGGTCACACCTAGCTCGAGTAAAGCCAGTCAAGTACAAATACGAGAAGGCTTCTTGTCTGAGTCCATACCTGCCTATCTTCCCCACTCCATCCCTTTGGTGAAGCCAAGATGAAGTTCACAGTGAGTAGAATTTTCCTTTTGAATTTATTACCTTATAATAGGAAACTGTCAACATTTTGAGCTAAGAACATCTGCTTCTTATGACAATTTCATCATAATGGAAAATTTTGTTTTAAAAATATCTCTCTTTTATTTTCATGGAATTCTGCCCTTTATAAGCATCTCTATAGAGAATGATAGTTATACTTGGATTAAGCAGCTGTCTGAACATCTTATACCATGCTATCTTTAATAAAATTACTATCTAGATCTCCTGATTTAAGTCTGGGCAGAGAGCAAGCAGTCCCTAATTCCTAGAAAATGTCTGAACTTTCCCCTCGTTCTTACATTCCTCTTTTACCAAAACTCCTAAGTATGCTCAGGCAAGAGAAAAAGCATCTTATCAAAACAAATGAGTTAGAGGCTTACCTTCACATCCTCTGCTGTCAAATGGAGCTCCAAGTAAGAACTGCTTGCCTTGGACCCTGCCCATAGTCATTTATTCATGAAAACACCTGAAGCAGGAGCTAGTGAAGCATCTCACCTGTGGTTCCAGATAAAAGGCTAAGAGTGTAGCAGGTGGACCACAAAATTCTGCCAAAGTAACTTGTGTATCATGTGTCTCTTAATACTGCATGCACGGAGCTAGAATCTGATTAGTATTTTCATGTTTCAACATACTAAATACTAAAATTTATTACAGCAGACTCTGCTTCATAATAGAGTGCAAAATGATTATTTAGAAATAAGTTTCAAAAACAACAAAGTTAAAAAAAAAAGAAGTCAGATCTGGATGTCTCCTAGTTCTGTCATGAACAGAAGATACAATCTTGGCCAATACAAACTTGGTCAAGTCACTTAAAGTGACTTCTGAAGCTCAGTTTCCTCATCTGTGATTTCATCTCTTGGTACTTTATTTGGAGACTAATTTTTACATCCTTCCTAAGCTATCAGGAGAAAAATTAAGCAAATAAAAAAATTACCTTGAATTATCAGTGTAGTTTCCAAACCATTTTGTCCCAGGTAAAAAAAGTGAGAACAGGTACTCAGAATCAAGCACCCTGCATAAAGCTCTGTGTTTTGACAAGCAGTATCATGTACCCAGTGACAAATGACTAACCCAGGTACCCTGGGACAGTTATTGACTTCTCTTCTGCTAATCACACTCAACAGCCGGGCACTCCTTCCTTCACCTCTCAGATCAGTATTCAACCTGTTTACAAATCTATTGCTTTTAAAAAAATTAAAATTAAAATTAAAAAGACTACTTCTGCTATTAGGAAATCCAGGAAGGGAGGAAAGTATTTATATCAAATAGGAAAATTAACTTAAATAATTTTCAGATGTGATTCTCAGAACTCATAACCATTTTCATTAGCAAAATGAATATGCTATTCATTTTCAAATTTATTTTTTATTCTACTAACACCTTGATTTTTTTTCACAAGCCCTACATTAAAAATTCTAAAACTATATATCGCACTAACATAATTACTGTGAATAAGTAACCTACAATTCTACATTATCATTAAAACTTTCTATAGTTAAAAACATACAAGGTCAAAGAAGAACAGAGAGAATGCTCAACAGAGTAGTAAAAGTAGTAAATATTTTCTATGAGCTTGGATAGAGAAAGAAAGATTGTTTTGCCATGTGACCGAAGACCAATGTTATTTGTGATTTCAGATTTTCTTTGCTGGTCTTCTTGGCATCCTCCTGACTCCTGCCCTTGCTGACTACGTAAGTCTCAGTTTTTAAAGCATGTTACCAAAATGTATTTGCAAAGAAATGTGACATTAAATCATTATCAATTTCTTATACACTTCAGAATATCGACATCACCGATAACAAGAACACGGCTGAAAGTGAGCAGCAGTCAGTGAGTGTCAACAGAGAACATAACGTGGCCAATATTGACAATAATAATGGCTTGGACTCCTGGAATGCAATCTGGGATTTCAATACTGTAAGTAGCCAACATGCAATTTCCATTCTTTACAAATACGAGGCTTCTTTTATAACTAAAAAAGAAAAAAAAAAAAGCCTGCTAACCATACAAAATTAAAAAGTAAATTCTAAGTGCACAGAAGCATAGTTATAAGTAAAAGTGCCTATTTTGCTCACCCAGTTTCACCCGCTAGATATAACTGCTGTTAATAATTCCTCACAGTCAGTTAAAATTCAAACCAATGAACAGCAGCTAGAATCCGCTATGTTCAAGGCTTTGGTGGGGCTCTGAGACAAATACGAACGTCACTTTGCTTTGCCTGCAGATATCCTCAATACTGATCAAAGACCATCACAATATTACTGCTGCCAAAGCATAGCCTTTCTCACTCTATCTTCAATTTCCTTCTAAAAAGACGAAAAATGACATTTCACTTGTAATTCAAAAGGACCAAAGGAAATGAAAATGATAATATTAATTGGTAAGGGAAGAAAAGTAAGAAAACAAACAAATTTGGCTTTAGTTAGAAGACCCAGCTACGTATTTAACAAACTTTGTGCTTTTAAAAAGCCAACTCTTTATTGTTTGAGTTTTATCATCTGATAAATTAGAAAACTAATTCCTATCTTACCTGCCTCCTTGAAATGTTAAAATCAAAGGAGATTAAATGTGATAGTATTTTAAAGTTTATTTCAGCAAAACAGATATATATAATGAGTCTTAGCATGCTAGAACCTGAAGATAAAGCAAAGAGTTAGACACTCAGTCCCTGACACCTCAAAGATTTAGTGGCTTATCCTTAGAAATGTTAGCAATAAATATGACTGCAAAACAGGGCCAGATCCTGCGCTCTTATCCCAGTTCATCATCATCTCAGAGCTCCATTTCCCTCTGCTGGTGAAACTGGTTTCTGATGGGAAAGCCGCTTGCATAGCATACTCCTCACTGCCTGCCGCCTTCCCAACAGGGTTATGCCGCAGTCAGAGTGTTTCACAAGAAGGCGTGCATTGTGCACAGGATGAACAAGGGTGTCATGCCTTCTCTTCAAGCCCTTGATGAAATGGTCAAGAAAAACAAGGTAAAAATAAAAGTCTTTTTATTTTTGTTCAGGGTAGGTCTTATGATGTCCAGAATAAAGAGAAGGTCACAATCATTCCTCCTTGACCTCAGTAGTGTGCAACACGAAAGGGGAAGTGGAACGGGTAAGTGCCGGAGGAGAAGCAGCTGCCACCGTACTCAAATGCTGTGGCTCACACCTGCCCCTACAGAGGCTCTCAGGACATCTAACATTTGCCGTCACAGGAGCAAAACTCTGCTCATGCCAAGGAGAGCCTCAGCCCTTCTCCAAGGACATTTTTCTGCAAGAATTGAATCAGGGATTTAGAAAAAAATAGAAGATACACAGTTAAGTTTGAATTTTAGATAAGTAATGGAAAATGTTTTAGGATAAGTATGTCCTATGCAATATTTGGGACATACTTATACTAAAGAAATGATCTGTTGTTTATCTGAAATTCAGATTTAACTGATGTCTTGTATTTTATCTGGCAACCCCAGCTGGGATGGGTAGGGAGAGGGGATGCATCATTCTTTAAAATGTTTGTCTGAGTTTATATTCCTATAACAGATAAATGGGTACCTTTCATTTATAGGGTAGGGAAAATAAATTGACTGCCTTCTCAGAAGCTGGTTATCATGTAGCCCAATCCAAGAATTAGGAGACGACCAAATGAGGCCCAAACTTCAGAATACATTTAGCCTCAGACTTCTGCTCATTTGAGAAGCTGAGGTTTCAAGCCAGCTAAATGCCTTGGGACCCTTAGAAGTTCTGAGATATACATGGTTGCAATTAGTTCTTCATTTTGATTACGGAAAAATTACAGCTAAGCAATACTGCCTGTTGGTCAATTCAACAAACCACTGGAGTTAACATTCATCCTCTCTCTTTCTTTTAACCTGTCTTCTCTATACTCAGCTTCAAGGTGAAGGACCAGGGGGACCACCTCCCAAAAGCCTGATATACTCACTCAACTCTGAGAAAGTCGAGAACCTGGACAAGTTTGGAAAACCCATCGTTGGCATGTGCAAGGGGGTTGCAACATACATGGCTGAAGAAATTCAAGGTGAGTAACCTCCCTATTGTGTGCTCCGCATCAGTGCTGGTGGGGCTGTCAGGCTCTTCTCAAGTTTGTCCACAGAGAACACCAACTACTCAGAGGTGTCAAGGCTAATACTTACGTAGTGCTTGCTCCTGGCCATGTGCTATTCTATATGATTTAAGTATCTTAATTCATTTGTTCCCGGATGAGGAAACTGAGGCCCAGAGAGAGGTCACAAAACCCTTGCCTGGGTTATTTCTAAGCACTTTGGCTCTGGATTCTGAGCTCATAAGCATTCCAAAATACTGCCTTTCAAGGTGAATCTAGAGAACACTCAAGACATATTCAAAGAAATACATGAGTTACTAAATGAAAGGATAATGCCAGTAGAATCTATTGACTTTTTATAGCTCAAACAATCACTTAATTTCTGGGCTTTCAAAGAATAACTTACACAAAAGCAAATATCCACCTAAGAACCTAACCCAACAGCAATTTTCCAGATCTTTGAATCAGCTGATTTAATATTGATAGCTAGCTAGCTAGATCTTGAAATTGTCGCAGAGCTAGTTTGGAAACTGGATGGCATCCCCTTCTCCCTACCCCTTACCCACATCCCCACACCCCCAGAAAGATCCTTGAAAAGACATTGATATTGTTTTTTTCTTTTTTTTCTTTTTTTTTTTTATCAGGGGCAACCTTTGCTTTTGCTTTATCATTGTGCTTCAGTACTAGTATACTTGAGCTGAACATTTCCTTCTGTGGAGGCATATCTGGAAAGTAAAAACAGAACAAAAACGTTGCTGTGGGTGTCGTCACCAAAATAGTCTATGCAGAAAAATATGGATTCTAATGGTTTTTAATCATGGCATTCTGAAATGTTTTCTCCTAATTATATTTGGTTTCTTTAAGTTTCAATAAAACTATTTAGTGCTGAATTTAGTTTAACCTAAAATTCCATATGATTTCCATTTGATCAAAAGTGCAATGTCCTGGTAGCAAGTTGTCGAAGTGCATTAGACCCAACTATTAGCCTATATTCAGGAACTGTTTCTTATAAAGAGCCCCTTTAGATGTTTCAGATACTACTAACCACGGCTCTGGGAATGATTCCAAGACCATCTGACTGCTCTGAAGACTACCCTATGGTTGTTGTGCACAGTAACGTTTCAGATCAGCAAGGGCAGAAATTCACTCAAAGTAGCTTAAGCCAGAAAACGGGGGTTTATTGCAAGGATATCAGGATATCTGAAATAATCTGAGGGTAAGGAAAGCTTCTGGTATCAAAGAGACTGGAGACAGGAACTATATTGACACCAAGACCCAAGTCTCCTTCTCTCTCCCTGAAGCCACGTGCTCGCTCTTCTCTGCTCCTCTCTAAATTCTGCTTTCCTCTTCTTTCCATCTGGCAGATGGCTTTTTCTGTACTCATGGCAGAAGATGGCTGAACCAAAATATTAGCCTCACCTCCCATGTTTACATGTCTTTCCAGCACAAGAAGTAGTACCTAATACTTTTGAATATCAATTCCCATTTTCGCGGACCCTGTTTAGTTCAAGAGTTCACTACCTCCACACTGGATGGCCAGGGAAGTGAAGTCACACAGTCCACATACAACACTGGGGTATCCAGTGAAAGAGAAAGATCTCAAAGAAAATAGAGACTCCAAATATTACGTATTTTCTGTTTGTTTGTTTTTCTTTATTTAGATCATTTTTTATTTTTTAATTACAATTGACATGCAACATTATATTAGTTTCAGGTATACACACCAGTGATTAGCACAAGTAGTAAAAAACATTTTTAAAAATCGCTTCTATATATTTCCTTTAAATCCTGGATGTCATAAAATATATATAATCCATTCCCATGTCTTCAGATGGGATATCCTTATATACCCCTACCAAACAAAGACTTGAATTTCCACCATTTGAAAAACTGCCAATATTTACCATCCTAATTGGGAGGAAATTATAATAATTGTCTTTATCCTGAGGCAATTTTATTGCTGTTCACATGAAGTGTACTACCAGTGTAGAACTTCCATGACATCCGGAAGGCATGAGATGTGGAGCCCCACCAAAGACCCATCAACGATCAAGGACTGGGCTACTGCCTTACTGTGGGTGAGAAAGAAACAAAACTGTGACTTACACACTGGATACAATGTCACGTGGCTGACTTTGGGAACTAGTGAATCCCATGTTTTGTGGAAGAATTGTTTAGTCACTATTTCAGGATAAAAAATTAAATTCATTAGGAAGATATAAGAATTCTAGGTTATAGACACCTATCAAAATATATGAAGGAAAAACTGTGAGAATTTCAAGGAGAATTTTACAATCTCACTATATACTAAAGATTTTTTAACACATATCTTTCAATAACTGGTAGATGAAGCAGTTAAGGATATAAAAATTTTTAACACAATCAACAAACTTATTTTAATGAAGATATATATAGAACACTGCAAAATACATATTCTCCTTAAGCATCTATGGGATACTTACAAATATTGATCTTATGCTGAGGAATAAATCAGATCTTTAAAAATTTCAAATGATTGGTGTCATAAAGAACGCATTTTCTGACTTCAATTTAAAGTAGAATAAATAGTTCCCTCCCAATAAATCAAGATAGTCCCAATTGTTGTAAAATTGGGCAGCAGCCCTGGCCAGTGTGGCTCAGTGGTTAGAATATCGGCCCTCACACCCAGGGGTCGCAGGTTCCATTCCCAGTCAAGGGCAAGTACCTGGGTTGCAGGTTCAATCCCTGGCGCCTGTTGGGGTGTGTGAGGGAGGCAGCCAATCTATGTGTCTCTCTCACATCAATATTTCTCTCCCTCTCTCCCCCTCCGTCCCTTCTACTCTCTAAAAAGCAATGGGAAAAAAATCCTTGGGTGAAGATTAACAAAAAAAATAATAATTTTTTAAAAAGAAAAATCCATGATGAAAAGTAGAATATATTTTCAACAGGGCATTAATGAAAGCACTCTGTATCAAAATTTGTGAGTATCAGCTATAGCAAATTATAGCCTTAAAGGTTCATTTTGTAAGAGAAGAAAGTCTAAAAATTGAGTTAAGCATTCAGTTTCAAAAGTGAGGGGAAAGCATAAAATAGTCAAAATAAAGAAGAGGAAAGAAATAATATAGACAATATCAGCAGTTAATAATATAGAAAACAAATACTAATAATGCTCAACAAGGTCAAAAATTGGTTCTTTGGAAAAACAGAGAATTCACAAACTTTAGGTAAAATTGACCATAGGTAGAAAGAGATAAATCACAAGCAATGCTATGAATAAGAAAAGGGTAGTAAGCTACAGAACACATAGGTATTAAGATGCTAATATAATGATATTGTAAACAACTTTACTCTTGTCTGTGTCTGTGAGTTGTTTTTTGTTTAATCCCTTCACCTTTTTTACCCAGCCCCCAACCTCCCACCCCTCTGACCTGTCAGTCTGTTCTCTATCTATGAGTCTGTTTCTATTTTATTTGTTAGTTTATTTTCTTCATTAAATTTCACATATAAGTGAAATCATATGGTATTTTTCTTTCTCTGACTGCATATATAAGATGTGCTCTGAAAATGTAGACACACACTTTGAATAAAGGCAGTGTTTATTGAAATACATTTTGTTCTCAAAATTGAGCTATCGGCTGTTAAAGTGTGTTTACATTTTTTTGGGACACCCTGTATATGGGCTTTGTTTTCTTATCCATTCAGCTACCCTAAGTCTTTTGATTGGAGCATTTAAGCCATTTACTTTTTAAAATATGTTTTTATTGATTTCAGAGAGAGGAAGGGAGAGGGAGAGAGAGAGAGAAACATCAGTGATGAGAGTCAGTGATCTGCGGCCTCCTGCACACCCCCTGCTGGGGACTGAGCCTGAAACCTGGGCATGTGTCCTGACTGGAACTCAAACCATGACCTCCTGGATCCTAGGTAGAGCACGAATTGATACAACTGCTTTGAAAAATAATTCAATATTGTCTAATAAGCTAAAGGCGTGACTATCCTATGACCCAGCAATTCCACTCTTAAGTATGTATCCTAGAGAAATTCTTGCACATAGGCATCCAGAAACATGTGCAAGAATGTTCATAGTGGCAGTGATTGGAACACCAAAAAACTCGAAACAATCGAGATGTTTGCCAACAGTGGAATAGACAAATAAATCATCATGTGTTTACTTTGTAGAATACTAAACATTACAAAAAAGAAAACCAAATTAATCACAGCCAAGCACAACAACCATAGATGACTCTGAAAAATAATCTTGAGTCCAAAAAGAAAATTGCAGGAGAAAATATATTATATTTATCTAATAAGTCTCCAAACTGGCAAAACTAAACAACACACACACACACACACATATGCATATGTGGTAAAACCTGACTAAAAGCAAGAAAATAACACAAAAATTTGTATAACTGTGTACCACTGACAGGGAAAGAAAGGTTCATGGAGGGACAAATGGAAGACTTCCAAGGTAGTGGTAATACTTTTTCTCTCTCTCTCAAACTAGATTGAGAGGCAAGGAGTTCATGAGTGTGTGTTATATCATTAGTCTTTATAGTTTACATACATATTTAAAGTCTTTTGCACATAATACTTAATTGTAATTTTAAAAAGTGAGATAATATGAAGACAATTATAGGGTAAACTTGTGTGGATGGAAAGGAACTGCTCTTTCATTCCAACATCAGGCAGACGCCTCTCCTCTGTTGCTCAATTCTGAGGCTGGTGGTTCCAAACATTCAGCCTTTGACCCATGTCCCTGGAAGAGTGGTGTAAGTGAAAATGAGTTCATTCAACACCAGGATGCCGAGAAGTCTGCAGGGAGAAGCTGCTGCTGTTCCTGGCTGTGCCAGGGCCAAGCCCCGCTGTCCACAGGACTCTAAATCATGGCTAGGAAGCCTGCAGTGCAGCTTCCCATTGACAGTTGTGTTTGGCCGTGTGAATAACCTGAGTAGCTCACACCAAACCGTGTCTCACCCTAGCACTGAGGCTCACCAAGGTCAGGAGGAGGTGCTGGCTGGCAGGGTCATCAGAAGTTTTAATGACTTCATACCCCCAAGAGGCACCAGATCGGAGCAGATAATATCCTGTTACAAGTCTGATCTAAGAGAGAAACATTAACAGAAAATATTTTAGATAAGTCCTTGCCCATTATTAGAGTCTCTTTCTGGTCTCCTCCCAATTGTACTTCTGACATAACTATGTAGTTTAAACGAAACCTCCAATAGTTGAATCTTTCCAGAACATTCACTAACAAACTTTAACCTAAAGTCGATTTTTCCAAGGTTCTTTCATATCAATAGATACATATATCTACTTGCTAAGTTTTATACTTCCCAAATATTGAAAAGCTAGAAATAACCAATTTAGAATATCAAGAAGTAAAACCAAATACAAACATAAGAGAAAGTATGCCAAACCTTACCTTTCAGTCACTCCTACTCAGATATTCAAATTAGCCTGCATCTATTTTAACCATCTCCTTTCCTAGTATTATCTTGATCTACAAGATTCAAATCAGAGAACATAAGTTACAGCTCAGTCCCTTAACTAAGAGCATCATCAATATCACATCTTATTTGCAACTCTATATTTATCACCTTCCTTCCTTCCTTCCTTCCTTCCTTCCTTCCTTCCTTCCTTCCTTCCTTCCTTCCTTTAACAAGTATCATCGAGTGCCTCCTATGTGACAGACTTTCCTAGGAACTGGAGATAAAGCAGGAAAAAAAAAATTAAAGTGCCTGTCTTCACGAAGTTTAC